GTGTATGTAAAGGAAAGTAAAGAAAAAACTCAAATTGACTTGGGCAACTAGATCCTTAAAATCCATTAGAACATAAGCTCTATGAGGGCAAGGACGTTTACTGTTTTTATTGCCATATAACCAATCTAGAACAGTGCCTGGCACATCGTAGGTGCTTAATATGTATTCACCAAATGAAGAAAAAGAGGAAATAATGGAAGAGAATCGATGTATAACAAAAATAATAAAAACGGAAACATAAGTGTAAAAGTAGACATGGTGTCGTTTATGCCCGAATAGAAAGTTCAATAGATTCAGTGGACAAGAGTTTTATTCCTAGTTCTCAGGGGCTCCTGGCTTAACTTTAGATAAGTCAAAACTTTTTTATGCCTCAGTTTCTGAATCTACAAAATCTCTCATCCTTCATGCTTTAAAAGGATACTACGAGGTGTTATGAAAAGGAAAAGAGAAGGAGGAAGAATAAAGATGTATGGTTTGGGGTACAATGATTTTCTGAGAATGCAGAAATGCTGGTATGTGCAAACATGGCAAAAGAGTCAGCAGAGAAACTGGCATGAAATCTACTAAGGAAAAGAAGAGGGACAAAGTTTGAATTAATTGTGCCAATAACAACGAGTATGTTATTCACTGGCTGGAGACATTTTTTGTATATCTGTTTGTAATATGTGTAAATACCGTTTGGTATTAAAATGCAATAAAACTCCATGTGAAAGAAAAGACAGGTGAAGATGCTTTGATATCTTAGAATGCAATGAAATATTGACATATAAAGCCAAAATGGGATCACTGGAAACATAAGATATAATTGGGAGGATGGGAAGGCAGGGGAAGGAGGAAAACTGGTTTAGGTGTCATAAAGGAATAAGGAGAAACAAAGTGGGATTTGCGGGAGAGAGGTGAGCCATAGGGCCATCTGCTATATATCAGGAAAGAGCTCACCCTAGAACACCCAAGCCGTTTTCAAGAGCAAGCTGAACACTATATGGATGATCAAATAAAAAGGGAAAAGACTGCCACTAATGAAAATTTAATAAGAGCAAAACAAGAAAGTGAGAAGAAAATTTAATTTTAATAGTATGAACTATACACACTTGACCAGTGGTCTTACTTGAAGTCCTTGCTTAACTGTCAGTCAGATGCCACTTAAACCATCCGAGTTCGTCTCCAGCATGACTCTCTAGAACAGGGAAATGATGCCAGGAGAAAACAGCAGTGTGTGGATTTAAATTCTGGGAGACAGGACACTACTCTGTTTTCTACTATTTTGGATGTCACTAAACCTTTCAGAATTGTGTGAATTTTAGTAAAAGAATTTCACTAAATCTTTCAGAGTCTGGGTTTCCTCATGTGTAAATTTATAAAACCTTTTGTTTCAAATTGAGGATCTTTCCATTTCTTCTAGTTTTCACCATCTTAGGCTTTAAAAAAATATGGTTAAAGTGAAAAAAAGTTATTTGAAATCGCCTTTCTGAAATACCTACAAGTACAGTCGCAAGGTACTGAAAGAATCTATTGGGCTTAAAATGAATGCCACTTCTAAATTGAAGGGAAGAAATCCTCTGGCATATTCAATTAACTATGTTGAGCTTTTGCAAGTGGTAGTGATTCATCTTCTCACTGTGGTAACAATGATTTGCCATGCAACCCAATATAAAGATTTAAGACAAAGCAAAACAACTTTGGCGTAAGATGAAAAGACTAATACATTCTTCTCCTCGAGAGTCTGCTGTCACGCAGGGAAGGGACAGAAATACATTTTCCCATCCAGAAATACATTTTCTTTTAAGATGGCACCATAGTTTTCTGGCTACAATTTAATTAATCAGCTCTTTCTTTAGTAATCTAAGTTTGCAATCTCCCAGAGTCAGTTCTTTCCATATACATACAGGGTAAGAAAAATCTAAAAGCCCAGGCAAAGAAAACAAATTAATGGTTCAAGTATTATGTGACTCAATGAAAAATAAAAACTTAACTATTATCATGGCAATATAATGATAAGGAAACCACTAAACACACACAGAAAAACTTCAGAAATTAAAATATATATATTTTTTTTATATACACATATATAAATATATATATACATATATTTTCCAGCCCTGTCTTAGATTTCTTAAGATCTATATGTATGCATAGATTAATATGGCGAAAACATGAAATTATACCAACTTATGAAAGAAATACCCATTTTAGAAAACCTGACGTAGCCACTCTACCTATAGACGATTTAATATATTTTGCCTTTTATTATAATAGAGACAATGTTTTAATCTTAAAAGAGTCAGTGAGGAAGGGAGTAATTCTAGAATTTATAAACTAACACCCTAATACCAGTAGGCAGACTGGTTTGGGGAATAATACAGCAGACACAATTACTAGGATTGTCTCTCTTCCCCTCTCTCAGGCTCCAGGATAAAGAAGAATCAATTAGCCCTCAACAGACTATGACCTTGAAGGCTACAGCTCTGTGCATAATGTGCGGAAAACGCTGAGACAGATAGAAAAGGGAGAATAAAGTCCTGAAACCACTGAAGAACATGTCTCAGATATGATCGTGTCATTTAAAAATATACGCCACGACAGCTTAGTTCATGTCAAAAACACGCATGATGAAAGGAAAGTGCTGGTTCTTTCTATGACTAAGCAATACTTTCTTAGTTGAAAAGAAAAAAGTGAAAGAGATTATAAAATGACAATCTAATTCCAATTTTTTTTTTTTTTTGCTTTCCTTTAGTTAATGGTTACAAGCTTGTTAAACAACAATAACAACCACTTATGAGTTTCTGAAAACAAAGCTCCCTGGACCAACCCCTTTCCAAAAAAAAAAACAAACACAATTTTTAGGATACTAGTGTTTTTGTTGTTTTCAGGCACTAGATCAAAAAATTAACACAGAGTTTCCCATACAGAAAACCCTATAGGCTGTAAAGTGTTAACTAACACTCTCCCCTAACTTTTCAGGAGACCAGCACTTCCCAGACTGCTTTTCCAGGCTTCTCTCCAATGGACTTCAGAACACTGCAGCTGTGCATCTGGCCAGAACTGGCCCCTAGGATGCTTTTAGGCAGCAGTAAATCTTTTCCACTCAATGCAAATGCCAGAAAATCAATGCTCTGGCTTGGAAACACGAAAAGAAAAGAAACTATATGGAATGTGTAATCTATTAAAACACTTGCTAGAAGAATTGCCCTTAAAAAATAATTTCTCAAAACGTCACGACGTACTTTTTGATATGGTCCTAGATCAGGAAAATGTGCTGGGTATTTCTTTGTTTGCTTGTTTTCCGCGGACAGAATTATAGAATTTAGTTGAAGAGTTTTTCAAAGAGTCTTCTTTCTTTTTCTGGACAACTAGACCTATTCAGGCACATTTTAATTAAAGACTTAAGTTGAAAATGATAAAGACAAAGAAGTAACCTTGTCTGCATAGTGAATTTTGCTTCTCTTTGCAGGATTTGGACTTGCTTTTTATAGCCTGTCATTTCATCTGGGTATTATTTCCCGGTCACTTTGCCAGGTGGGAAGAGGCGGTGAATGCAGCGATGTCTGTCAGACCTTTAATGATGCTTCAGGGATTTGATAAAGATACAAAGCAGTGTCTGCAGAAAGGACGTTCTTCCCTAATTACACCTGAAAAACAAGCCTCTTTTTTTTTTTTAAACCTTTGCCACTAAAACTGGTGTGTATAAAATGATCCTGATTCATAAGCCCAAATCAAGTTTTTCTCTGTTTCTATAACACACGGATCCCCCTCATCCTGAACGTAATGTCTGGGAAAGATATTTTTTATTCTTCATTTCCATTTAGAGGGAAGCAAACAGGGTATTTCATCACAGAAGCCTTATCCTCAACTCTCCTTTAAGAGATTTTACACACGTTTTTAAGAACCAAATCCTCTGATCTTTTACTTTTTTCTACTCAAGAAATATTCATCAATGGTAAAAGTGATAGAAGATAGAGAAACAACAATAAATTAGAAATGTAAAAAAAAAAAAAAGCTATAGAAAACTCCTCCGTTATATGTTGATGTTTAGAACAATCTGACTAGTCACGGTCTCATCCTTGTCAACTTTCCATTACAAAGCATTGCAATGACCAGGTACAAACAGCAGTATATTGTTCTGTTTTGTTTCTACAGCATGGGCTCTCTTCACTCACAGATTATTAAACTGGGCTGCTGCAATCTGATGGGCGAAATGACACACGTCTAAAAAAACGACGTAGCTTACTAATGTATTCTGTACTTTTTAATAACGGCCAAGGAAGCTATTTAAACATTTGATTACAGAAGACAAAACTAATCTGGGAAAATCTTTTCATGCAGAATTATTCTGTGTTCTGAACAAAATTAAGCTGCCTCTCATAAGTGCTCAGAAACTGAAACTACAATCTAGGTAGGACAGTTGTAGTCTGACGCTGGCGAGAGGTGAGCATCATAAATGTCTAAAGACTTGATGCAATATTTGGAGGAACCAATTAAAACACAAATGCAGGGAGAAGTGGTTCAAGGAACAGGAAGAAGAGATGGAGAAAGAGAACAGGCAGCTTGGGATGGCTGGGAGGCACAGGGTATCAGAAAGCTGGGGAGAGGTGATAGGAACTCTATGGTGGAAAAAGAAAGACACAAAATCAGACTCACTGCTATGTGAAAATCAAATTTATATAAAAAATACAGGATGGTCTGATGTTTAATTTTAAAAAGTATTAGAAATCAATTGAATTTAACTCAGACGCTGAAGTTTTGGGCCCCCCACCCCAGATTTAACCATCTGGCTAGAGCGAGCTTCTGTTAGAGCACTGATTCATACTAGGAGTTTACAAGATCTTTTTACTCATCTCTTCAACGCCAGCCCAAGCATCCCAGTCACATGATAGGCTTCAACAAAACCAGGCAATTAAAATACAAGGAGGAGAGGAAACAGCTACACGCCCTGGAGAACACCTTTTAGGATCTCAAACCCACCCTTTCTTTTATCCATCACCATCTCTCTCTCTACTTACAAAGTTTAGGAGCAGTTTGAAGATTAGTTTCTGTTGTTTGTGGCTGAGTTGCTGACTTGGGTGTTCTCACCTCAGGGCTCCGAGTGGGTGACGGGAAGGATGGTGCAGTGGACGGCAGGAAAGAAAAGGCAAAAATACGATTCTTCGGGGTGGGTACCGCTGAAGGTTCAGAGGACACAACAGCATTGTCAACTTGCACTGTAACTTGAACCTCAGTGTCAGATTGAGCCCTAGAGACAGGTGAAGTGTATGCCTCAGATGATACCCACACAGCTGAGGCAGCAGTTGGATCCAGAGAAATAATAGGGTCCTGGCCTAACCCCCCAGGGTCAAGGTGAGTGGGAGAGTCATACTCAAATATCTTGTCCACAAATACCCACTTGAGGCCGGCAATGCAGAGACAGAGGCTGACGAGGCAAGCCAGAATGGGGACAATGCAGATTTTCTCCGAGTTGAGGCAACCTCTCAGGCGCTCGCCTTCCAGGCAGACACAGCAGGGAACTGCCAGGCCCACGAGTCCGGAGGTTCTCCCATCTTCAGTCTGGGTCTCTGGCATGTCTTCAGCTGCCGGAAGCCCGTCAAGAGATGGGTCTGTACTCAGCTGAGTGGAGGGGCTGGAGCACCTCTCTGCAGCTACCCCAGACATGTCTGGGGAAGAGATCTCCATGGGCTCACCTCCAGAAGGCCTGGCCTCTCTCATGGTCCATTACCAGGCAGGGCCCCCCCCAACCAAATGATACAGCATCTTACATGGGGAAATCGATAAGTCGTCCAAGTCCAAGGCCATTATCAAAAGCAAGAGGAGTTCAGGAGGAAGGAAGGAAAAAAAAGCCCCTAGCAACTACCAAATAAAAGTATATGGTAATTCTTGACTGCTGTTTCTGGGCCACTTTAGTAGTTCTTTTAAATGCTTCTCCAAACCATCCCTGCTAGTCAAGAGGACAGGGGCCAGAATAGAAATCCAGCTGATGGTTGGTCAATTAAGTAAACCAGTAGCCCAAACTGAAAGGCACGTTTCTCACCTCGAGCATCTGAAGCTGGTGTCTGCTTAGATGGAGAAAACAACTGTCATGCAGGAGAAGTAAAAGCAAGAGCAGAATCAGCGGCGGCGGCGGCGGCGGCAGCAGCGGCGGCGGCAGGAGAGGCAGCAGCGACAGTAGCAACAGCATCCTGTTGTGTTAACGCGACGGCTGAAAGAGGCTGAATCATTACAGAGCAGCAGGTGCCTGCCCTCCGAGCATCACTGCAAACAGTATCATCACAGACGGATCTGAAGGGACGAGTGCGGCCAGGAGGGGCGGTAACTCCCCTCCCCGCCCTGCCTCCACCCCCACCCCGCAACCACTCCTCTTTGTCCTTCTTGAGCGCTCATTCACTTTCTTCCTCTGCGGCTCTTCCCTTCTTCATAGTCTCTTTCTCTTTCTTTCCCCTCCTCATCCAAAGACGTTCTCGCTCTCTCTCTTTCTTTTTCCTCCCTCCTCTCCCAACCCCCACCCTCTACCCGCACTCTGGAGCTGCTTGGCTGGTCTGAGTAAAATCAGTATACCCAGCAACACAGGACTGCCAGTGACTTCCTATTTTATCCAATTAGAAGGAATAAAGGCCATCAAATCAAAGAGAAGCAGGCAGGCACCAGTTAAGCTTGGTCCCCATGGCCCCCACCCTTTTTCTTCTCTTTCTCTTTTTCTCTCTGCAAAAGCGGCCCCAGTCTTCCACCCCCACCTTGCTTGCTTTCAGTCTGGCTGGCTCTCTTTCCTGCACCCACTGTTGGGTCAGGAAAAGGCAGCGATCGATGCTAGCAATCTAACAAAGCTGGGCTGAGGCTGGGGATGTAGGTGGGACCTTCTGGGTTGGACCTGGGGCTTGGCAAAGTCTGATATCTGATTCCTCCCTAGAGAGGTAAGCTTTTCAGCAGCAATTACTTCCTGCCTGCTGCTGAGAGATAGCGTTCCTTCCTCAGCCCTCCAGTAAGTTTTGTTCACCAACAGGACTGTTATTACCTGATTTTCAACCAACAGTTCGAACATTTCTTTCAAACCATGGACAGCTCTGCCTTTGGCCCTTTTTGCAATGATTGTGTAAGACTTTGTAATTCCCAGTGTGAAATGCTGAATGTATGGTGGAGGAGGCGGGTGCTAGGGGAGGGGAGAGAGGCTCACACGTCCCCACTCTGGTCCTCTTTAAATTTCCATTTCCCTGTGCCACTCACAGCAGTCCTAGATGAATATCAAGCTAATAAGAAACCCTGGGAAGTAACAGAGCTACGAAGGGAGCAAAGGCTACCACTTCTTTTTGAAATTAGCCTTCATTGTGACTTCACACTGCGGAGGTTTGAATTCCCTGAGTGCTGTAATATATACCACATGTCCTCAGCTATAACCGCACTGCAAGTATTAAGAAGAGTTTTCTATTAGAGCATGCCTTTTGGGTTAGGTTTCAGTAGCATTACCTTACAGATAGTTTCAATGTTGATTTTTTTCCCCCCTTTTAAGATAGCAGTCATTAAGATACTGGGAAGAAGCGCACTGTCCTCAATAGAGAGCACATGGTCTCCCGAACCTCCCATTGGTTACACATCAGCGCACACTATATGCATCGTAACCTGTAATCCACGCTTTACTGTGACTGGACACCCGAATGGTTTCCAAGGAACCATTTTGCTCACCTATGTCAACAGGAGTCTTAAAAACTCTCTCTAAATCTATACTACAGAACCATCATATGAGTCCCAGAAGCAATAAAATCTAGAGCTCAAGTCCTGAGAAAAATCTGCTTTAAGCACATGATATTTTGTATAGCACAATCTCCACTGCTTTGAAATATTTTTAAGCTTTAAGTGGGCATGAGATAAGAATATTATCATTTCTTTCAAAATGAAATTAGTCCATAATTATAAATGATTTAGGGGGCATTCATATCTTAAAATGTGCTTGTAGTACTATAACTAACAACAACAAAAGCCTGAACAAATTTGCATAATCATAATTATGACTATGACAAGCTTATGGGCAAAATGAGTTATCCTGAAGTTCACCTCTACATAACCTGCATTTATGCACCAGTATTTTAAAATAATTCCTATGCCTAGTTTCTATTTTTAACAGTGAGAGCTTTCTGAAAGATTCTAGCAATGGACATAAAATTTCATATCATAGAAAATCTATATTGAAGCATTTGCAGTATTCCAACTGAGGTATTAAGATTTTAATGATCACTATTCATGTAAATATTCAAAAACAATATAAACAAGTAAATGTTTACACTAAATTAGGATAACTTATAATTCCTTCAGAGATCACCCGGTGTAAATATGTGTACTTAACTACTCAATTCTGCCCCAAACCAAAATTATACTCAAGTATAATCCACTGGCATTTTATCCACAGCCAAGGTCATCTAAATTTCAAAGACCAAAATGGGGTTCAGGTAGCCCAAGTCAGGCAGGTAAGAGAAGACACCAAGAAGAGTAACCAATAATGTAAAAAGTGGTCCTTGCAGCCAGCCTGGTGACACAGTAGTTAAGTTCATGTGCTCCACTCTGGCGGCCCGGAGTTGGTGGGTTCTGATCCCCGGCACAGACCTACACACTGCTCATCAAGCCATGCTGTGGCAGCATCTCATATACAAAGTAGAGGAAGACTGGCACAGATGTTAGCTCAGGGACCATCTTCCTCAAGCAAAAAGAAGAAGATTGGTAACAGATGTTAGCTCAGAGCCAATCTTCCTCATGAAAAAAAAAAAAAGTGGTCCTTAACTTGCACCAATCACAACTACTCACCTCACCCTAATTGTTAAGAACAAACACATTCAGCAGACAAAGAAATCACTGGGCACTGCTGTAGCTGTCATATTAGAAACACGCATCTTTAATATGACAACTAGAACAGTGCTGAGTAATTTCCTATAAAGGAAAACAACATATTATACAAAGACTAGGCCAAAGCATCAGAGACAGAATCCTGTGGGCCACCACAGCCGTTCCGTCCCCTGGACTGCACGAATCAGACTGTGGGATGTGCATGTGTCCTCCTTGGAGATGTACTCCATGAACCTTGTGGCACCTTGGAGCTAAGATCAGAATGCAGAGAGCCAGCATCCTATAAAGTTGTTTCCCACCAAATTGGAAAGTGAGTAATTGAGGAAAGGGAGTAGGATAGGAGGTACAGAATAAAAGGAATTCTCCAATAGTTCTACCCTTTGGACTAGGAGCCAGAAGTTGTCTTTATCCCTTTATCAAATACTCTATAGCAATAAAGAAGTGAGGAAGGGTAGTGTGAATGGGATAGGGATCGAAATTTCCTTTGGATAAAACATGCCTGTTTGTAGGAAGAACTGCAAGGATGTATCACTTTAACCCTTTAGGCTACACCCCAATAAAGCTCAAGGAACCCATATTTCCATGTTCCCTTAAAAAATGAACAAGAGACATATTTTTACTGCCTTTTTAACACCACGTTACCACCTCCTTCATACAAAAAAAGCTACATTTATTGAGCTCCACCTTTGCGCCAGGCACTCGGTAGATTCTTAACATACATTATTTCTGATCTTCTCTAATCCTGTATAATACATATTATCTGGTAAACAAAGAAACAGACTCAGGCGGCTTAGGTAACTTAGCCATGGACACACAGCTATTAAGTGACAGGCCAAGATTTGAACAAAGGTCTGACTCATGCTATTTTTGCTGAAAAATACTGCTTCTTTTTTAATTAAAAGAATGCATTTGATTATGTATTCCTCACCTACCACTTCAAGGGGAGAATAAGTGAACCAGAAGGCATAACAATGAAATAGGCAATATTACCTTAATGTAGCTGGTAAACACACTTAAAAGGTGCCTAGTTTCCAAAAAAGCCTTCTAAAATTTTGCCTAGTGAGTTGCGAAAGTTATAAGGATTAAGCATAGGCTATTTAAGTATCTCTATTTAGACTTTAAATTAAACGAGCTCTTCCACAGTCTCAGTTACAGGATTTTCTCTGGAATGCTATTTCAGTTATGTATTGCTATGAAACCAACCGCCCTGAAATAGCTTAAAACAAAACCATTGTATTGTATCTCACTCGTCTGCAGGTTTACTGGGTTCAGCTGAGTGGTTCTTCTGTCCACTTGGATGTCAGCTGGGGCTGCAACCAGCTGGAGGTGCGACTGGGCTGAAACATTCAAGCTGGCTCCCACACCTGACTGGCAGCTGATGCCAGGGGTCAGCTGGGAGCTCATCTGGGACTACTGGATGGTGCACGGACAGGGAGCCTCTCCATGTGGCCTGGGCTTCTCACAGCACGGCAGCTGAGTTCTGAGAGGAGGCATCCCAAGAGGGAGGAATCGCAAGCTGCCAGCCCTCCTAAAGACCAGACCCGGAAGCGGCACAGGTTATTCCCCTGGCATCCTATTGGTTCAGCAGTCACAGTGCCAGCTGAGATTCAATCACAGGGGAAATAAATCTTGACGGAGAGAGTGACAAAGAATTTAAAGTCACAATTAATCCACCACACAAGGTGAGGAAGTAAATGTAGTAAGTCAAGCCAGGTCAAGAGGAGACACAGTAATTAATATAGCATGGGATTTGGCAGAACGAAGTCAGAATACTCTTGTCTTTCTGATCCACTTTCATAACATCCCAGCTTCTTTCTAAGCCAGCTTCAATGAAGAAAAAATCCTATTATATCATCAAATGAAAAATACTCAAATTCCTCTGCTACTTCAGTTCAAGCTAGGCTATTTGGTTCTGCATTAATTTTATTTATTTTATTATCAGAAGTATTGAGCACAGCTCCAGCAGGTGAAAAAGAGGATGGTAAATGCCATTTTGCTTTTGACCCTATTACCCAAGCTTGTTTTTCTCTTTAACATTTTTTTCTGTATTTTGGCTATTCATTCTAAAAATGTTTCTCTCTGAAAAAGTTTATCCTTGCTACTAAATTTTAAGGCTACAAAAGCAGAATTTACTTAGTGGGTTGTAATACCATGATGACAGCAGTAATTTCATTTTTGGATTACGATCTTTGGAGATGACTATGTATAAATTGTAATGATTTATTTATTTGATAAAGAATTATGAAATCATGATTTTCACAAGAAAGCTTCCGAGCATAAAGGTAACCTTAAAAGCTTGCTGCTTCCTATGAGAGGATGAAATACTCAAATGGATCTGCTAGCCTCTTCCCACCCGTCTGAAAATCATCTCGCAGCTCATGTCTCAGCTCCTCCATGGAGCCCTTCCATGTTTTCAAGTCACAGACACAGCATTTCTTAACTATACCATTATTGGGGCACATCTTCACAGTCGGTGTTATTATTTAATTA